AGAATGCTTGATGCCATGTGTGGCACACAGTGAGCCTTCTCCAAATACCACCTGACACTCTGTTGAGGGAGGTTATTATGCAGTGGCTAAATGCATGGATATCAGGTGAAATGGCCCTGAGTTCAAGTTCAGGTTCTGCCACATAACAGCTATGAAACACTAGATGAATTACTTACCAAAGGCCCGGTATCCTCATCTACAAACTGAGGATGAAAGCCGTACATACCCAGGAGATAGACGAAATCAGAGCACTTATTGCATGCCTGACCTGTCACTGGAAGTCTTAGTTATCCTGTCATCAGTGTGGGTTTCCTCTCAGGAAGTTGCCAAGAAGTTTATGGAAATTTTAAGGAAATCTTGACTACATACTCAAGCTGCCCCCTACAGGGAGTTTTGTGTGTCAGTTTCTCCCACTCAAGCAGGAGGACTGCCAGGCTCTCAGTCCCCACTGCCACAGTGCCTGATGAGGAGTGACATTTTTTACAGGCATTTAAAAATCAAGTGGTTATGTTATTTCATCAGAAAGACAAACTGCTCAGGCCACATGGAGTTTGTTCTAATCCAGGAGGGCCAGCGTGTTGGGGAGTGGGAAGAAGGCATGCTTGTGTACTACAAAGAACTCTTTATGCAAATGGGACTGCTTCAAGCTCTAGTGGCTGGCCAAGGCAAGCTCCTACTCTTCGCTCTGGTTTCTCCATTTTCCTAGTGACTCCCCACATCCTGTCATGTGCTTTTGTGGGGGCAGATAGCCATGCCATTAGATTGTGGTCACTTCCCTCACATAGACAGCTCACAAGACTTCACTGTCAGTATTAATTCACTCTAGGAGCCCATGTATCTGTCACAATCCCTTTGGTGGAACTTGGAGCAGCTTAAAGTCAAAGAGTGATTTATGGGGGAAGCAGGCTTTAAAGACAGCACAGATCTAGCTACACAAACAGAGCAGTCATTGCTCCCCTACCCGGTTCTTCCTTGATGGTTTAGTCTCGACTTTCAGGTGGTCTCTCCCACTCTGCCGCAAAAGAGGCCAGCAGGCTCCAGACCTGAACTGCCCTCATAAACAGGAGAATCTGGAGGAGAGAGGTAGGCCTATCTCCCTGCAATTCTAGAAGTGGCCTTAAGGGGGAGCGCATAGTCTGGGGAAACTACAAGACCTGAGGCTTCAGAGATGCTGATGAAGGTGGGGTTTGAGTGGGATAGTTTAGTTTGACAAGGAAACTCATGGGCCACAGGTATATATGCCACATTATCTTTTAGCTTGCCGTATCTTCACATCTGCCCCTAATTGGCTCTGAGAACGAAGCATGGGTGGTGGTTGCTGGCCTCTGGTTTCTCTGGCCTCTTTCTTCCAGAGGCAGGAGGAAGTAGTAAGAGGCCTCTGCATTTTGTTCAATTACCGGCCCACTCCTTGATCTCTCAGTGGTTTGGCAGCAGCTCACAGCAGCATAAGGAAGTGCATCTTGGTCACTGCATAGTCAAAACTTTTAGTGACATGAAATACTTAGAGCTTCATTCGACACAGGGCATTAGTGGAACAGCCACAGTTCTATAATGTTAATTACTATTAATTTTAGCAGTTCGCTAAATTTGAAGTGCTTTGTTTTCCTTAAATTATGCTGACTGTGCTTAATAGTATTGCTTTTAGACCACGTGTAGCTCTGCATAGAGGTCATTTGCAGCCTCTGTCACCGTCCACAGCCCGTGTTTGTACATCTGTGCTGGGTGTCTGCTGCAGTCTAGGGGCTCCTGGACCAGCCATCCAGGCTCCCTGTCCTGATCTGCTCATTACTCAGCTGGCCTGTCTGCAGCTACAAGGTAAAGCCATTGTAGTAGCTTTAATTCTAACCGGCAATGTCTGTGGTCTCTAACGTTGTGTTCTACCTTATTAATATCCCAAGCATGCCTGTAACCCCAGGTCCGAGGAGGGTTGAGACAGGAGGATCTCTGGGGCTTGCTGGCTGCTGAGAAAACACAAGCTGTAGGTTCAGGGAAAGACCCTGACTCCAAAGAATAGGCAGGGAGTGATAGGACACCTGACAGCCTCCTCTGAGCTCCATGTATATCCATTGGGGCATACACGAGCACACACATGTGCATACACTCACACAGAAACATACACACATACAAATCAATACATCTTGAAAATGAGACAACACTAGACTCCTTCCTGACTTCTTATCCCATAATTCTTCAGTAAGAGTCAATTCTAGGCCACCAAGAAGGCTCAGTAGGCAAGGATACTTGCTGCCAAGCCTGATGACCTGTGTTTGATCCCTGGGACCCATGTAGTAGAAGGAGAGAATAAGTTGCCTTCTGACCTCCATATATGCATTGTGGTATGTGTGCAGGTGCACACACACACACACACACACAATGAACCCCTCCCCCAAAGAACCAGTTCCAACTTTCCCTTCCCTCCCAGACAAGTGGCTTAAATGTGCAAAAAGATACCCAAGAAATGTGTCTTTGTTTCCTGTCTACATATGCAATTAACAAATGTTTACTTCTCGAGCATCTGCTGCCAGGCAGGGGCTCTGAGAAACAAACAGTATGCAGCATTCTCCTCCTGCACTCAGGTCTAGAAAAGAAACAGATTATAAACAAGTAAGCAGAAGGGAGATGGTGCATAAAGACAGCTGCTGCAGAGTTAACAGATTACCGTGGGAAAGGAACAGGAAGGGACTTGCTTTGGATGCTGCGTGAAAGAGAAAACAAGTCACCAGAGAAAACAGTCACTAGAGTGTAGTAAGACGCAAGATAATATGAGCAAAGCATTGAGGTTGAACTTGTCTTATTTGAGGTTGCCAGTGAGGAAGGAGTGGAATGAGTACAGGGGAAAGTGAGGTTAGAGGTACACCGGTAGGAAGGGGCCAGAACCTGCAGAGGGGCTAGAAAGAACCCTCCATCCATTCATGCATTGTAGATAGTCTGGCTTGCTCTGTGCTTAACATAGTGGATGTAGGGGGAATTGCTCTAATCATTGCCATTGAAAGTGTCATCTCCAATTGGGAATGCCGATGAGATGAGAAATGCAGACTCCTAGCCTCACCCTGCCCTCTCCATCAGCATGTGTGTTACAAATTCTCCCACAAGATGTACAGCTGCAAACCTGAGCTGCTCTTCTCTGAGCTGTCTGCCTTTTATGGACAGATTCAAACTTTCTTGTCAGACTTTCTGAAGTTCTAGAAAGGGGGCATTTCCCCACACATATAACATCTTTGGACACTGGCAATTTTACAGTAAGAAGGTAGAACACAACTTTGGGGGCTACAGACATCACAGGTTAGAATTAAAGCCATTGTAATGGCTATGCTTCATAGCTCCAAACAGGGAGCCTGATCTCTGCACCAAAATCCCCCTGCCTGCGGCCGAGATACACAGAGCAATGTAGAACTAGTCTGTGAACTATTTAGTTAAAAAGACTACAGGACATCTCAGGGGCTTTGGCAGTGTGCACTGTGAGTCTATTTAACGGCATAGTGAGTGTGGTTAAGTCCCGGACACTCACTCAGTGGCCTTTCCTTCCCTGCTCTCTTTCACAGTGGGGTCGGCCTCCCACTGTGGTGGCTGACAGTGCCAAAGGCTCAATTTCCTGACCTCTCCAGTGGTAAGGGCAGAGACCTATACTGGTTCTAGCCAGCAAGGCCTGAGCACTTTCTCAGAAACAGACTGAGAACCTCCAGGAAAGTTTTCCACGTTAAAGTAGACATGCAAAGGGAGATTTCTTTCCTGTCTTTTGATATGGTTGGACTCACAGCAGCCTCTAGCACACACAAGGGGCACAGTGATGGAGGGGAGGACAAGAGCCAGGCTGTCAAGGTTGGTGGGCTTGGAGAAGTGCAAAGAACCTGGACTTTTGGATGGCATCCCGGAACTGCTGCGTTCACAAGTCTTACATCTTGCACTTCTGGTTGTGAAAGACGTGCTCTCATTGCTTAAGTCATTTTTAAAAAATAATATTTTTATTAAGTTTGAGAATTTCATACAATGTCTTTTGATCATTTTCAGCCGCCTCCCCATCTCTGCTCAGATCACAACACTCTCCTTTTTTGTAAAGCCAATGGACTTCAATTTGTGTTCCCCAAATACTCTGGGGTGTAGGGCCACCTCCTGGGGGGATGTCAACCTACCCTTAAAGAAAAGCAACTCTTCCTCCTCCAGCAGCTGTCAGTTGCTAATAGCAAGCACCTCAGTTAGGGGTGGGACTTCCTGTCTCCTCTCTTCATGCTGGGATTTTGTCTGGGTAAGCCACTTTTCACAAGGCATTTTGCACTTTTAGCTGAAAGGGTCTTACCTGCTAAGAATGAGAAGCTGGTCTTTCTAGTTAGACAGGCTGGGGTGACTCCTGGCCCTACTGGTGGTAATTATGTGCTTTCTTCAAAGCTGTTCCATCTGTAGATGGAGATATTAACGGTGGCTACCTTTTGGGTTGCTACAGAGGCCTGAATGAGTTGATATGTATAAAGTCCTCAGCATAGGACTTGGCACACTGATGGTGTTTCAAGATTATTTTTGATCAAAAAGTCTTATTTGTAGTTGGAAGATCCTCTGCATTCAACAGAGAACACTTTGGATAATGTTGACCTTGTCATATATTATATTTACAGGAAAGAAACCAAGGCTAAAGTGACTGCTATATAGTTGTTTCTTCTCCTCCTTTCTCCTCTTTCTCTGTCTCTGTCTCTGTCTCTCTCCCATCCTTGCTTTTTAAAATAGGGTCTCTCACTAGGACCTGGGGCTTGCCAATCAGACTAGACTGGCAGGACAGTAAGTCTCAGGGGTCCACCTGTCTCTACCTCCCCAGCACTGGGATTACAAGAGTGCACCGCTGCTCTTGGCTTCTCTACATGGGTTCCATGGATTGAGCTGTCTTTGGGCTTTTAGTGACTTTAGTGACTGAGCTCTACCGAGAGTCTGGCTCTTTAGTTTCTTTTGTGCAGTCAGCCTCTGCCCATGCCAGCTACTTCCACCCACACTAGAAACAAGAGAAGGACACAGGCTTGGGTTGAAATGATGTGCTTTTATGGGAAACAAAAATATCCAACAACAATAACAAAAGCCCTTCAGTCTCACAAGTTGTTAACCACTGATAATGAGGCAGTTTCAATGATTGTGTCTGCCTGGGGACATCCCTAACGCATCAGGAAAGTTGAAAGACATTGGCCAAAAAGAGAAGTTGCAGGGAGGTGTGACATTTTAAATGAGGGTACATTAGACTTCCCTTCCCATGCCTCCATCCTGTCATCCATCCAACTTGAGATTCCTCAGATCCTTCCTGATTCTGCTCACATGTGACCTCTTCCACCAAGCCTTCCTTGGTCTGCACCAGCTGCATATACCTTCAGTAACATTGCGTATCCATTCTCAGGCCTTCTTTCACTTTCTGTCTTGCATCCATTATGTCTAGGTATACGCTTTACCAGGTGTCCTTACTAGACAGGCCCCAGAGACTAGGGCCCATTTTGCTTGGATCCCAGTGTCCCTCCTCCTCCCCCACTCAGTGCTCAGCTGCCTCCTCCCCCACTCAGTGCTCAGCTGCCTCCTCCCCCACTCAGTGCTCAGCTGCCTCCTCCCCCACTCAGTGCTCAGCATGCAGCAGGTGCTCTGCATCAGCAGGTGCACAGGGAGGGTTTGCTGAAGTCAGTTCTCCAGTTGCCCGTGTCACGTCACCAGCCTCTTGAGCTATCCTTTGTACTTCTTCATCCTTCCTCTCTGATCCCAAAACGTTGTGATACAAGGCATCTCCGAGAAGGAAAGTTGCCACCCATCGACAACTCAAAGTTGAAGGTTTGAGAGTTGAAGGATGAGAGGTTTAGCTTCCACCCCTGTTTCAGAAAACAGGAGAGGCAGTCCCTGGGGCCATCGGGAAGAACATGAACAGTGCCTTATTCTGGAATCCCCTGAGCAGCCACTCCTCTGAAAGCTTCCCTGTGAGGCTTAGCAAATGTTGCCTCAGGACCTGGGGATGGGTAGGGGCCCAAAATGGATGGATTGCCACCTAGGGACCAGTAGCATAGACGAAGAGCTTTTCTTTGGGGGTGTGGCCTATTCTCCCTGCACAGGGTGGTGAGCATGTTTGTCTGGATGCTCACAGGAGTTATGGTGGGAACATTAGCCCTGTGGTGTATAGATCATCAGGCACATAGATTGTTATAAGGCTGAAGAGTACAGGCTGCAACAATGGCCTCTCCTAGAAAGGGGGAAGGGTGGGGAGGTGCTGGAAGTGCTGAGAGAGTGGGTGGTCCAAAAGGTCCCGTCCCTACTCTCTCCTTTTCTCTACTTATCCAACTCCAGGCCATGCAGAGGGGTCAGCTGGGGATGGTGGAAGGAAGGGAAGTGTCTTTTTCCTTTTTGTACCATGAATCCTACTTTTGTACAAGGGAGTGGTCAGGACCAGGGGCAGGAGGAGGAGGGTTGCTGTGCTGAGGAGAGGCCAAGGTCCATCCACTCTGTACTGGCATAAGGACTGAATCTGAGGCCCATACATCTAACTGCTTCACCCCACAGAGCACTGAGCTCCTAATTGGAGGTGTCAAGAAAATTCTTCATGAGTCCTCAAAGGCGCTCACTGATTTGGGTGGATCACTGTGGACCTTCACGAGAGGGCCCTTTCTGAGGCCATATTGTGTGAAAACTGCATGGCCAGTATCAGCCCTGGAAACTGGGGGAAGGGCCAGAGGCATGGAGTAGAGACTCCTCCAGGCAACTTTCTAAGGGAGAGAGCTAGATTTGGGGGACTTAAGGTGGGAAAGATGTTTCAGTATAAAAAAGATCCCCAAGTAAAAGGATAGAGTCCCTTCAAATCCCTTCAGATCCCACAGCACTTAAAAAAGAGAAGGAGCATTAAAAATACCTTGATGATGTGGGCTCGCCTGACAGTACAGAAAAGCAAGTCCCATGGCAGGCAGCATGTCTTGTTACACAAGAGGATTAAATCGCGCATCGGGATAGAGATTTACATACATCTTTATATAAATGCATCTATGTGTATAGAGCCTCTGCCTAGAATAGCCGGGCTTGCTTCTTCAGTTCATTCCTCTTCCAGAGGGCGAGCCTCTCGAACTCTGAGATGGTCATGCCAAAGACTTGGTAGAACTCCTCCTGGGACAGGTGGCGCTGAGGGAGGTGGAGGGACACAGACAGCATGAGGATGTGAGGTATGGGCACAGCAGCAGTCACTGTACGCTTCCTCTGAGTACCCTGTGCCTGGCTCAGAGTCGACAAAGGGAGGTGTGTGGTGTGTGTGGAGTGGATGAAAGTGCAGGTGGAACGTCTCCTGGGGGCGGGGGAGCTCTGGAGCTGCTTTGGCTGCTGCAGAGGCCTCTCGTGCATGTGCTCTCCTCTTGGCGCACCATGGTTGAACCCTCCTTTACGAACTCATGTTCCATATATCTGTCCCCAGGAGCACGTGTGGTTAATTCTACCCAGCTCTCCTTCAGGGGTAAAAGGGGGCATATGCAATGTTTCATAGTATTTTTATCACTTTTAAATATTTTTACAAATGATTTGGCAGGCTGCTCATCAGAAGAGTGAATGTCTTTTCCTCTCTTTTTCTATGGAAACGAGTTTGTTGTATGATCAAACATTGTTCCATATTTCATGGCAGGTTCCCCTCCCCCCTTTCTCTTCCCTCCTCCTCTCTGATCTCAGCAATCTTGAAAGTTCTTATCAAAAGCCTGTAGACTTACGACATTTAAAATATCGCAAAATGTAGCCGGGTGTGGTGGCGCACGCCTTTAGTCCCAGCACTCAGGAGGCAGAGGCAGGCGGATCTCTGTGAGTTCAAGGCCAGCCTGGTCCATATAATGAGTTCAGGTCAGCTGGGACTACAGGGAGACCCTGTCTCAAAAAGCCAAAAAAAAATTGAAAAATGTTAGCAATTGATAGATTTAGGTGAAGGGTAGATGTGTGTTCATTCTAATATTCCTATAGCTTTTTTGGAGGTCTGAAATTTTTCAAAATGAAATTTAAAATCAAGTTTCAAAAGGGAAATATATGGCATACCTCTTGGCTGCAAGCTTCCTGGATTCTCAGAGCATTTATATCAGCTGACTGGGCAAAGCAGGATGCTTGGAGAACGATGCAGACAGCCACAAAACAGTTAGCCGCTCGTCGGCCTATTTAGTGCCACAGAGCTCATATTTTATCATGGCTTTTATTGCTAGATGGGCATGGATGTATGACTTTGGGCAAGGGAGCAACTCTCCTGGGCCTCAATTTCCCCTTCTAAAAACGGTACCAACCTAGTACTTGCCTCTTCAGTATGGCAAGGGTGGGTATGAGTGTAGAGACTGTGGCCAGTGCATGGCGGTGTCTGATCTCTGCTTGCTTTCATCACCGTGGTGATGTCTTTAAGAGGCTGTCATAGAGCATGATCTGCTCTCCATCTCCTTTGATGGATCTCTGTCTCCTCCTCCTCCTCCTCTTTTCTTTACCATACGGCCCTAGCCACACTCATCTCTTGCTGTCATCTAATACACAGGGCCCACTTCTACAGTAAGGCCTGGCATTGGCTAGTCTCTCTGCCCAGGAAGTTCTTATGAAAGCAAGAGCAATCCCTCGCTTTGCTCAAATGTCACATAGTGGATGTCTAGACCTACTCTGATCAGTGTACTTGAAACTGCTGCTTGCCTCTCCTTCTAACTCCCAGTCCCCTTGCCCAGTGCCTTTGCTTTTACCATTGCCCTCATCATCTGATAACACACTGTAGCATTTGTTTTTCATTTGTGTCCTTTAGTGTCTGTCTTCTCACGTAAGAATGCGAGCTCTAAGAGAGCGGTGTCTCTGTTTCGTTCAGACATGTTGTAAACATCTAGAACAGCACTTGGTGTCTATAAGAGACTTTTAAATAAAAATTAATTTATATGGCCGGGCACAGTGGTGCATGCCTTTAATCCCAGCAGTTAGGAGGCAGAGGCAGGAGGATCTTTGTGAGTTCGAGGCCAGCCTGTTCTACATAGTGAGTTCCAGGACAGCTGGGGCTATAAGGAGACCCTGTCTCAAAAAAGACAAAAAAAAATTAATTTATTGTGGGGCTGGAGAGATGGCTCAACAGTTAAGAACACTGATTGTTCTTGCAGAAGACCCGGGTTTGAATCCCAGCACCCACATGGCAGCTAATAACTGTCCATAACTCCAGTTCCAGGGGATCTGCCAGCCTCTGTGGGCTTTGCACGACATGGGTACACTTACCTACATGCAGGCTATACACGCATACACATAAAATAAATAAAATTTAAAAAATTATTAACATTTTGTGTGTGTGTGTGTGTGTGTGTGTGTGTGTAACACAGTGCATGTGTGGAGGTCAGGAGAACTCTGTGAAGTCAGTTATCTCCTTGTACCTTTTACATGGGTTCTGGGGATTGAACTCAGGTCACCTGGCTTGCATGGCAAGCACCTTTACTCACTGAGCCATCTTGTCAGCCATAATAGACTTGTAATAAACATTTGTTGGATGAGTGGACGTCTGTTCTCTGATCTTCTTGAGGACACAGTCAGGGTCTAGAACTGGTGCAGCAGCTAGGCCAATGTTTTTAACTCAGCAGTGTCAGTGCTACATTTTAGACATTCCTGATCGGCCTGAGCTCCTTCCCCAGATTGTGACTTACTTGTGGTGAAAATTGCTGGGTGATTTTGATGCTCAGGAAGCTTGAGCTTCCCTGGCCTAAGCTATGGGAACCGGGAGATGCTTGGGTTTCTCAAAGCTGGCTCCTTCCAGCTGGTTGGGAGCTGTCCTCTTCAGCACCAGCAGACACCCTTGTTTACCAACATGGGGAAAATCACTCAAGGTTCTTAGGCAGCTAATCCAGCATGCTAAAGCTGGGAACATTTACAGAGCTTCTTAGCCCATTCACAGGCCCCTCCCTCTGCTTCTGTCCTAGGTGAATTCCTCAGCATTAGGTCAAGGGTGGTTCACATGTTCTTCCCAAGGAACACAGTTTCCTCTTTTGGAAGCCTGAATTCAAATCTACACCTGTCCTGACATCTCTCCTTACCAGTACATTCTTGCCTGTAGGGAGCACAGGGAAAGGCAAAGGTATCAATACAATGGAGAGGGGAGAGGTGTTTGTTTGGACTGAACCTGGATGCAGGCAAAGGGGAGGCTGGAGGACCAGGCATGTGATTCAACCTTGGGGAGAACTTGAGGAGGGTTTGGGTACAGTCATCTCTACAGCAGCACCATGAGAAATGAGAGGGCTCACAGGATGAGAAAGGCACCTAGGGAGATGGAAAGGCAGGGAGGAGGGGCATGCCATGGGACAGGGTGATGGGCTGGCACTCTATGTCAAGTGAATTGTGTTGCTTGAAAGCCCAATGCCATGCCTGGTGCACCCTCTATATCTTTATCTGTGCTGTTTTGATTGTTATGATGTTCCCCTCTGTCTCTCCATTCAACCCTACCTGCCTTCCTGGTCCATTCAAATTCTTTCTCTTCCTGCAAGCCTGTGTCAAACAACCCAGGCTTCAATGACATTGGAATAGTAGCAGCCTAACATTTAGCCAGTACTTAACACTTGGTCCCTTGCCAGACTCTACTCAAGTCTTGATGTGCACCTGCATCTACTCCTGGCAGCTGAGGGAAACACTAGCCTGACACTTACCAGTTTTTTGTGAGGGCAAAATCTGCCCACCGAGTGATGACAGAAGTAGAATGGGGAATCCAGAGATTTTTTTTTTGAGACGGAGTTTCCCTGTAGCCACAATTGACCTGGAACTCACTACATAAACCAAGCTGGCCTTGATCTCACAGAGATCTACCTGCCTCTGCCTCCTGAGTGCTGGGATTAAAAGTGTGTATCACCATGCCCAGCTTGAAATATAGAGACCTTAAAAAAAGATTTATTTTATTGTAAATTTAATCATGTGTGTGTGTACACATGAGTGTGGGTGTCCACAGAGGCCAGAGACATTGGATACCCTGGAGCTAGAGTCACCGGTGGTTGTGGGCGACCGGATGTGGGTACTCTGAACCAAACTCAGGTCTTCTGCAAGAGCAGTACATATTCTGAACTCTTGAGCCATTGTTCCAGCCCCCAAATCTAGAGACTTTAACTTCAGACTTACATTTTTACCTTCCTTGCAGTGCTGTCTGCCCCATTTCCCCTTCCCTGTCCCCATCATAAGAATCAGCTCTAGTACAGCCCTGAGTTTATGGGTCCATTGGGTGCAGGAACCAAATCCAGCTGTTTTTCTGTCTGCAGAACAACAGCCCCAGGTGAAGACATTGGCATCTGTGCACCATGGACACAAATTGGGTTGAACATCAGGCCTTGGTGAAGGCGTTGGCAGCTGTGCAACATGGTACCAACTGAGCTGATGCAGCGGCAGCTCAGAACATCGTGGAACAGACTTGGGCTGTGGAAACTGGCTCAAGTCTCTACTTCTGCAGCAATTTTTGCTCCTGTCTCCCCTTCCTGAGCTGGGCCAGACCTGACAACTATGAGATCTCTTCAAACCCAAAAGTTTTTGTTCAGGGTTTTACAGTGCCAGGCGTGTTCAACCTGAGGCCTACGATATCTACGAATGCAGCTTACCACAAAACCATAAACTTATTTAAAGCATTAGATTTCTTGGGATTGTTTGGAGAGGTTCTTGAGTACGAGCTTTACAGATGACAATGTCATGTTGCAATGTCAAAAGGTTGGATCTGCCTGTACATACCTCTAAGCGGGTCCGATCCACATCCTTTGGTAGTCGATTTCTTCCTCTTGTGGTCACCAGCAGCAGTTCATATGGGTAGATCTAAGGAGAAAGGCGGGCATGTCTAGCTTGGGTGATGGGGGTGGGCTTGTCTTTTTCAGCTATATTTTGAGGCTCCTTCCTTTATCTGCTAAGGCTAGAGATTTAGTCAGGAAGAAGGACTGGGTCTTCCCTCCTTGGGTTGGCAAGGCCCCACAGTTCCCTCACATTGCTAAGGCTAAACTTAGTAGCATCTGGCATTAATGTGGGCCCAAGGTCTCCTGAATATAAATGTCTAGTATTTGGTGATTGGTAAGCCACCAGAGTCATCGGGGTGCAGGGGAAAGGTTGGAAGAGACCTAGGGAGGACTCAGGGACAGTGGGCCAGGGAAGGGTAGTGTCAGTCCTGAAAGGTGCTTCATCTATGCTTCTTCCCTGCATAGATGGTGCTGCCATCCTCTTGCTGTTCCCCAAGGTAGTGGCTCCCAGAATCCTGGAGACCCCAAGGGTCTATGTGTTCTTTACCTTGTACTCTGCAGAGAGAAAAGAGACATGCACAAAGTAGGACCCACCCCTCAGCTCCACATCACTACATTGTCCTAGGTGGTCTGGTCGCCACACGGCCTCTGCTTTGGCCACCAGAGTCCCTGTGCTTCCTGAATTCACTATGGAGGAGAGTCTAGGTCAGTAAAAGGAGATGGGTAGCTGGAGGTAGAAGCTGGCTGATCTTGAAATGGCTCTAAGGGGAAAGTAGCTTTCGAGCTACTTAAAACAAGAAGGATCTGAGCTATGCAGCCTGTGGACATGATCTTCCATCCTCAGGGATGGGGGTGGGGGGGTCCTCTGAGGTCCTAATGCAGCCACTCCTGCTGTGCAGAGAGCACGAAGCTCATGATAATTCTGGGAACGATGCACATTTCCCCCTACCATGTCTGGCTGGCAGCTCTAGCTTAGCAGTACAAGGTGACCGACACTCTCGGATACCCTGGGGACCCAGATGGGACAAATGTCCTGGAGAGTGCCCAAGGCAGGGACTAGAGAGGATAAGGGAAGAGCAAGGGAGAGGAGGGAGTGGAAGTGTCAGGGAGAGTGAACTTGGGGTTTGGACAGAGTCCAGTATGGGGACAGACTCTGTACTGATGGTTTGCCAAAGGTCAAGCAGCAGTCATAAGCAGTGTATCTAGAGTCCCTGGGAAGTCTTGGGAGGGCCTGCCCCCTGCAGCAATGGCCAGCAGCACTCACCTCGCATGCCCCAGTTGACTGCATTCATGCTGTCATAGTGGAAGAGGTCTGCGCTTGGTGTCTGCAAGGAACACAGTGCTGGTCTCAAAAGCTCACTTCTGCCTCCTGGAAACACTTTCTTTTGGCATGGTTCCCTCTCTGCACTCTGGCCTTCTTAAACTTTTTTGATTTATTTACTTTGGATTTTATGTGAATGAGTATTTTCCTTACATGCACCGGTGTGTACAATGCCCAGAGGGCAGAAGAGGGCATCAGATTCTGTAGAACTGGAGTTATAGATGGTTGTTAACTGCCATATGGGTTCTGGGAACTGAACCCCTGTCCTCTGTAAGAGCAAGTAGTGCTCTTCAACCCTGAACCATTTCTGCAGCCTGTCTGGCCTTCACTTAAATTGAGCCCTCTGTGACCTCCTCTCTCCCCTAGCTGTTTTCCACCTGGCACTTCTCATGCCTGTCAGATTTTCTCACTTCTTTATCTCCCAGCTAGGATTGTGAGTTTCACAGAAGTGACTTCACTCACTGTAGGATCCTCAGAACCTAGAACAGTGCCTGGTGCTTAGTAGGTGCTCACAATCAATGCTCATTTCAAAGTCCCTGTTCCTGTGACTTGTTCAGAGGTGTACAGCCCCTCCTATTACTAACAACATGTATTTTCCCTACCTTTCCAGCCTTTGAGCTGGCTCACTGTTTCTATGGTGGTTTTATATTATGGGCTGTCCAGGAACTCAGAGGCTCCACCTCTTACTAGTCATGAGAACCAAGGCATGCCAACTCCCATCTCTATGCCTCTGTTGTTCCACCCACAAAATGGGTTTTGTAATAGTGACTGTCTCCCTTGTAGTGTGAAGGAAGTGTGGTTGGCACCTGGTAAAAGCCAGTGTGTGGCACAGTTTTTTCCCAATAAGTGCAAGTTTCCCCAGCCTTTCCCTGAGGCCTTTCTATACATGAACCAAAAGGGAGGGGGGCAAGTTTCCATCACTTTGAGTGAACCCACCTCTATTCCAAGGCCTTTCTTTGGTTCTAACCACAGGTAGTAGGGCACTGAGCTGCTAGATCATTAGCATCTGGGGGTAAGGCTCCCAGCATAGCCCTTCTTACCCTGTGCAGCCCATTTCTCCTGTAAGCAGGCAGTGAGGCAGATTTGGAGATGAGGGGATCTGCAAAGAAGATGCCAGAACGATTACCAGGAGCCCTGAGCCCTGGGTCACCTGGCCAATATTATTCCCAACCCAGTGGGAAGTGGGGCGGGAGCCAAAAGCTACCAAGTTCTTTTCGAAGCCCACTGGGCTCTCTTGGGGAGCCTTGCTCTGGCAGAATTCTAAAACTCCAGAGGCACCCACTCACACACTGAGGTCTTGGCTTATACAGGTCTATCTTAAGAGGATAGATGCTTGTGTTTAGGCCACAGGCCCTGGAATTGAAGTTAAGCTCAGAACCAGACAGGCAGGCTCCCAGGTGGGTGCAAGAGACCTGTGCTCCTTCCTTCTCGTTGGGAGTTACTGGAAATAGTTACAGAATCCAAATGGAGGCTCTCAATCTGACAAGTACAATGGGGTGAACTATTTGATACCAGGACCGTGCAGTACCATGTGGTCCTCAGAGCTATGGGGAGCTGTAGCTGCCTTGACTTTGTTCTCACAGGCTAGGAAGGGTTTACAGAGGGGCAGGCAGAACATACCGCTGTCAGCCAGGTAGTGGGAACGAGGGGCTGCAAGAAAGAAAAGCCCAATTAGTGCTCACAGGTATAGACAGGCATGGTAGAGGCAGTTCACAGGGACACAGAGACATGGCTTCCATACTTAGCCATTTTGGCTGATGGGGAGGAGGGGCCTCAGTCAGCACTTATTTTCTACTGGTTAGTTTTCCATTATCAAATCTAAATACCACCCTCCCTCACCCACCTAGTTCCTAGCACCTGGCAGGCAGCATGTGCTAGGAAAATTTGTTGCATAGATATGGTTGGAAAAGCTGGTTTTGTTTTTTTTGTGGTGCTGGGCCTCATGCATGCTTGGCACACTCTGAATCACTCAGTTTCACCCCTAGCCAACAGGTGAATTTGGAGCAGTCTTGTCCCGCACAGAGCCGAGTAGGAAATGGAAAACAGCACCCCCAGTGGTCAGAGAGAGAAACGGTCTCATCATTTCATCCAGCCTCTGCTCTTAATAGCCTAATTTCTTAAAAGCCTAACAAGTTACTTAGTTACCCTTCAGTTTTTTCACCTGTAAAATAGGAACAACAGGGTCTCCATTTGCAGTGCTATTGTAAACATTACATGACTATAATATAGTAAGACATTTAGCACAGTGCCTGACACAGACATAATAATACTCCATAAAACTGTTCTAATCCCATCTTCAGTGTCACTGTCACCAAGATCATGGTGTAGAATGGTGAAGAGGGGAAAGCTCATGGCCTAGCTCCTTCCAAATCAGGTCTGACCCTGGCTCGGTCACTTACTGGCTTTCTGGCCTTGGGCGATGTTATTTTTTCTCATCTGTTTAGTGAGTGATAATAGTTCTGCACTGTGGTGATTTGCAAGGACCAATAGTGGCAACACACCTGGCACACAGGAGTATAACAAATGATGCCTTCTATTGCCCAGCAAACAATAGAAGATCAGAGATAGGATTTCCTGGCAGGACTGAGTTCCACAGGGATAGAAAGGAAGGAGGCAAACAGAGCTAGTGTCCAGGAACAGGGAGGGGCTCAGCGAGAAAGTCTCAAGTTGAGGTGCTAAGGCAGCCTTGTACCTCTAAGCAATGGGAGGCTCAACACCTCAGGAAAGAGGGCTGTATCTTTAAGTCATTCAGATAACACTATTAGAAGATCTTTTTCTTCACACTTAACTCAATTGGAAGTCAAGACTCCAGATGGCCCCCAGAGCATGGCTGCACTTGATGCTACATCTAAGCCCTTTGCCTGGTCTGTGATCCACACCCAGGAGAGGCCCAGAGGGATGGCCAGAGATTCAGAGAGAGGGTCTGGGGCTAGCTTCTTCTCTTAATTCCTTTGTTACCACAAAGATTTGAATCTGGGGGCTAGCTATGTTTCAATAAAATTCCAGAAAGAGAACTGATAGAGAAATAAATCCATCCTTAGGAAGCCAGTGATCTTGGAGTTCTATGCCTCAGTTTCCCATCTGGGAAATGTGAAACCCCTACTGCACAGGGCTGCTGGGAGGAAGAAGATCCTGGAACTGTGCATCACAGGGGGTCTGGTCCAAAGTGAGTAGCCAACAGATGTCAGGACAGAGTGGCACTTACAGCCGTTGAGAGACATCTCATAGCCAGCGGTGTGCAGGGCCTCCCGGCTGCTGGTGGAGCTCCGAGGAGGGGTCCAGGGATCGGCATAGGAGCTCGACCTTGCCTTCATCTCCTCCTTCAGAATCAACCGGCCAATCCCACTCTGGAGCTGGGGGTGAGGAGCAGACAAACGACATTGCAATGGAGTAGGATCAAGAATGGCTGAACCACTGGACCCAGCAGGAGCCTCTGCTGACCTGTCCTCCCAGCTGCCTGTCCCCTGCCATATTTTCCTTTTCCAGTTCTCTCCCCACATAGTCCTGAGGTTTGGAGCAGGCTTGGGAGGCAGGCTTCCAAAGCAGGTCTGACTAGGAACAAGATCACTTTGCTCTGGCCACTAGTTCAGTGATGTGTAGCCAGCTCTTTTTCTTTCTTTCTTCTCTCTTTCTTTCTCTTTCTTTCTTTCTTTCTTTCTTTCTTTCTTTCTTTCTTTCTTTCTTTCTTTCTTTCTTTCTCCTTCCTTCCTTCCTTTCTTTCTTTCTTTCTTTCTTTCTTTCTTTCTTTCTTTCTTTCTTTCTTTCTTTCTTTCTTTCCTCTCTCTTTCTTTCTTTTTCTTTCTCTTTCTTTCTCTCTCTTTCTCTCTTTCTTTTCTCAAAGTAAAAAATTATATAATCTAAAAATTAACCATTCTGAAGCCCTGGCATCCCTCAGTAATCACAGGAAATTTGTTCCAGGAACTGTCCCCTACCTCATGGATACCAAAATCCTCTGACACTCAAATTGTCCCTCATAGAAACTAGCATCATATTTGCATATAGCCTATGTACCAATTCCTGTATGCTAACCTAAATAATCTCTAGATACAAAGGAAATGCTATGCAATAGTTGTTAGATTATATTTTTTAAAGGAGTAATAATGAGAAACAGTCTGTAATAGAGGTAGCACAGATCTAGCTTTTAAAAGCATATTTTCTGTCTGTATTTGTCTGAATCCGTGGTAGACAATTCAGTAGCATTTAGTAAATTCACATGCTGTGCAAAAACCACCTCCATATGGTTCAAACACATTTATGTGGGTTTTGTGCTTTATTTATTTTATAATGTTTTAGAGGCTCATTCATAGGGAGGTATATGTCAGTACTTCATTCCTTTTTGTATATGTGTGTGTGTGTGTGTGTGTGTGTGTGTGTGTGTGTGTGCACAGAGGCCACAGGCCAACATTAGGTTTCTTTGGTCACTCTCCATACTATTTTTCTGAGATGGGTCTCCCATTGAGCCTGATTCAGCTACACTGGCTAGCCACAGAGCTCTAGGGATCCATCTGTTTCTGGTCCCTTAGCACTGGGGTTGCCAGTATGTACTGGTGTGCCCTTTATGTGGGTGCTGGGGATCTGAACTCAGGTCCTCATGCTTGCATGGCAAACCTTACCAGCCACGCCTTCTCTTCAGCTCTCTTGTCCCTTTTAATGGTTGATCAGTACTGTATCGTATGAATATACCATATTGTGTTCATCCATTTGTGAGTCAACTGACATCTGAGTTGTTCCCACCTTTGGCTATTGTGGTAAATGCTGCTATAAATGTGTGCGTACATATTTTTTGAATCCTTTTCAATTATTTTTGGTTTATATATATACACTTATACATAGATGTATACATAAATGGAATTGCTGGATGGGTCCTATGGTAATTCTGTTTAACTTAACACTTTTTTTTTTTTTTGGTCTTTTTGAGACAGGGTCTCCCTGTAGCCCCAGCTGTCCTGGAACTCACTATGTAGACCAGGCTGGCCTTGAATTCATAGAGACCCACCTGCCTCTGCCTCCTGAGTGCTGGGATTAAAGGCGTGCACCACCAGGCCCAGCTTACTTAACACTTTTTAAATTTACTTTATTTTTATTTTATATATATGAGTGTTTTGCCTGCATGTATGTAAGTGCACCTGTGAGTGCAATGCATGCAGAGGCCAGAGAAGGCATTGGATCTCCTGGAACTGGAGTTACAGATGGTTGTTAGCCACAATGTGGGTATTGTGAACTGAACCAGGGTCCTCTACAAGAGCACCCGGTGCTCTTAATTGCTGAGCCATCTCTCCAGCCCATGTTTAACTTCTTGAGAAACTGTCAAACTGTTTTCCATAATGACTGGACCATTTTGCATTCTTACTAGCAACGAAGGCTGTTGGCATCTGTGTCCCACAGATGAAAATAACTCGTTTGAACATGAAGCCAATGCAGAGACAAGTTCCGCAAATTACAAGAAGCAACTTCCTTATGGTGTTTTTTCCATCTTTTTTTTTTTTTTGAGCAGCTGGAATCTAGGCATAATTAAAACTAATCTTACTATCTGACTTTTTAGTTATGCCCATCTATGCATTTCTTCTGTTGTGAGTTAGAATTTGGTTTCTGTCATTTGCAAATAAAGAAAAATCTAAGCATTTTATTTAGTGATGTAGCCTGCTCACTTTGTGCATGCTGCGGTCAAAATCATCTTCCTCTCCTCCAGATGAGAACCTTCTGGCTCGGGGCACTGTCAAAGGACAAACAGGGTCAACTGCAGTGTACTTTCCACTCAACCCACCTTTGGGTGCCTCCCTCCCTCCCTCCCTCCCACTTCCTTCCCCTCAGTTCTCCCTGCTTCCTGCCCTGTGCAAAAGAGTGCTTACAGATTCCTCCCTCACTGTCAGCAAGGCCTCAGTAAACTTTGCCCAGAGGATCAGAGAAGGCTTCCAGCTCCTTGATATTTACCGAGTGAAACATCCCTAATACCAAATCCAAACACCCAACAATTAGATTTCAAATCATCCTCTGTCTGTCTTTTTGAGACAGGGTCTCCCTGTAGCCCCAGCTGTCTTGGAACTCACTATGTAGACCAGGCTGGCCTTGAACTCACAGAGATCTGCCTGTCTCTGCCTTTGAGAGCTGGGATTAAGGTGTGAGCCACCGCATCTGGCTGCCCTCTCCTGCTTTTACAACTTCCTATGGATTCTGATACCTGCCTACTTTGGTTACACTTGTTTCTAGAGTGTCTTGCTCTTTTTCTAGATGGAGAATTCTCAGAAGGTAATGACGTTAGCCCAAGCTTCTGAAGCTTTGTTCAGAATGAACATTCAATTAGTAAAGCCAAATTTTAAATAAAAATGGATCTTGATGGAAACTCTTCTCCATAACCGAAAGGAACAGCTTGGGCTCTCTGATAGGGTGTACTGGGAGGACCGGCGTGCCTGTAGGACCCTTCCATCTTTACAATTCTCTTTTTCCATTCCACATCCACAAATCACTTTTCACTCTACAGCCAAGGTGGTCTTTCCAAAGCACAACTGTGTGTGCTCAGGTCACTTTCAACAGCTTCTCACTGTTTAGGATAATGGCCAAAAGCCTTCCCTCAACTCACAAGGCCTGTGGAACCCACCCCTGCTTGCCTACTTGATCCCCTCCTTCTCTCAGCTCAAGGTTAAGCCTGCCTCTCCATCTAGGGTCTCTACAATGTGTTTCCATGGTCCCTGATGACCTGGTTCCTTGTCACTTCCCTGAGGCAGCTGAGTCACTGCCTCTGACACACTTCGTCCCTTTCTGCTGATAGCATGCTCCTGCCACAGCTCTCCCACCTTGTGTGGATTAACTTCCACTAATGATTAGGAATCTAGGTTTCCTTTCCAAGAGCAGCAACTTGGTCTATTTTATTTCCCAATGTATCTTTAGGGCCTGGAGTTGGTGCCTAATACCTGCCAGGGAATGAGTAAAAGTCTCAGTTATGTCCACTCTAAGTGTTCTCATTCAACATGATAAGAAGGAACAGATGACTGTCCTGACTGCCTAGTTCCTGGCACAGAGGTTAGGGCTTTGGCCTCAGGCCCTGTGGGAATACTACCTTTTGGGGACCCATGGTAAGTCCAGTACTCAGACTCTGCAGCATAGTAAGGGTCTGGCGAGTAGGCTGGACTGTACTTGGAGGCCTGGCTGATGTCTTCACTTGTTTTGCTCTTGGTTGCTGTAGACAAATCACCTGTGAAGGACCAAAGGACAGCACTTCAGGAAGGCAGAGTATCTCAGCTCAGAACATGTACTCTTTCTAAGTATCTGCCAAGCTCCAGCCCCAGTAAGCAAGGCAACCTCAAGTTCAGAGGTCTGTGGTAGGGGCCTGGGACATCAGCGCTAAAGCCCTAGGCGAGCCCCTATTTTACATTTGAAGCCAAAAAAGGGGAAGGAACTTGATAAGGACCACCTAGACAGTTTACACAGAACTAGACTAGACCCCAGCTTTCTTTCGGCACATTCCATGGATTCCCATGGAACACAGATACTAAAATTATATCCTTAAAGTAAATCCCAGAGTTTCTAGGAAACTTCCCTTTCTGATGCTTTTGAAGCCTGCTTTGCCAAGGATTTGACCTGCTCTAGGGAGAATTCACCATGCACAGCTGAGATGCATGTTGAATTGGATCAGCGTTTTCCTCCTGTCCTGTTTGGGGAGGCTGTGTGTTGAAGGAAGAGGCCCTGGACAGGGAGTCGGGAAAGCTGAATTTCTGGTCCCAGCTCTGCCATTTAACTTAACTGCAATCCTGGGCAAATCCCACTCTTCTCTGCCTGTTTCCTTTATCTGTTAAGTGCAGGAATTGGTGTGTTAGCTCAGGTGCCATCTGGCTACATGTTAGTCCATGACAGGGATGGCTAAAACACCTACAGCAGGCACAAATATTGACAGAGTAGTGACTTTAGAGTGGCCCAGACTGGTGATAGGCTGACAGGGCAGAGAGGTGGGGGTGGGGGAGAAGAGGAGAGGAGAGAAGAGGGGAGGGGAAGGGAAAGGAAGGGAGAGGAAGGGAAGGGAAGGGAGGGGAAGGGAGGGGAAGGGAGGGGAGGGGAAGGGAAGGGAAGGGAAGAGAAGAGAAACCAGCATTTCTCCCCAACTATTTCTCGGGAGAGCTATAGGGAAGCTTTAGGGACTGGATCTATATTCTGAGGATGAGCGCTGAGGGTCCTTGCATCACCGCATCACCGTCTTTCATTAGCCCAGGACTGGGCAGCACTCCCTTGCTCAGCAGCACTTGCTCCTTTGACTTGAGCCCTGGATGGTTTCTCTTAGTTGATGACATTTTGCCATTTCTTATGATGCAGCCACCTCCACCTGGATTCCTCCTGAGCCTGCTTCCTCCCCAACCTACTTGGAAACCCTGCTGAGTCCTAAGAAGCCTCAGAGGGTCTTTTCTGTATGTAAAGCCAAACTATTTTTTTTAGGGCTGGCACCTTTTTGGGGCCATCTGAACACATACAAAGGCTTACAACTTTTAAGCCTGTTTAAAAGGATGTCTGTTTAAATTGCAGGGTTTAGTTGGACACGGTGATGCATACCTGTAATCCCAGCACATTAGAGGCTGAGGTAGGAGGATCATTGAGAGTTTAAGGCCAACCTGGGATACATAGTGAGGTCAAGGCAAGCCTGGGCTACTTAATAAGACTGTTTCACTTCCCACCCTAAAACACTTCAGGCTTTTTGGTTTCTCTTCAGAGCCATTACTTACACTTGCATTGTCCCCTCCATCTGGTTAGTTCAGTTCATGGCACAGGACTGCCTCCCTCATGGCCAAGCTCCTCTGAGCCCATGCTTTCCTCTGTTACCTAACTAGACCAGTAAGCAGGTGAGGGCAGCTGTGCTCTGCCTCTTCCAAGGCAGAGATATGTTCATTCACTTGAGGCTCACTGAGTATTCTGCAATAATGAACAGGAGGTCCCAGTGATGGATGACTTGATGGTTCTCATAATGGAGTACAGGCAGGAATCATGGGTAAAACTGTTAAGTGCAGATTCCTGGGCTGTACTCTCAGTGTTTCTAAAGAAGAGGTTTGGGGCTGGGGAATCCGCCCTTTTAAAATAGTGTCCAAATTATAGATGGCTCACTGACCATTGTTTAAAAAAACACTAAATGATTGCATGAGGGGCTGAGGATGTAGCTGGGTGGTAGAGTGTTTACCTAACATGCATAAGGTCCCTGGGTCTGATCTCTAGCAACAGGAAAAACAAGATGAAAGAAGAAAGTGGCTTCCTACTTCTCTCTCATCTATACCTCCTGTATAAGTTTCCATCTGCATTCAGAAAGCCATGAGAAAAATGTAAAAGCAGTGGCGCCCAATTCAGCGCAGTGATCTATGCATTCTCATATAATTCTAATGAACATTTTGAATATCAGTGCTTTGAGGTACAGCTCTCCTAGGGGTGTATGCGCTTTTCAGGAATTGCTCTGGTCATGGAATTTAGAACAGGAGGTAAGGTCTGTTGCAGGAGGAGGTGGGTTGCAAGGACATCAACATCCTCATTATCATTCTGAGTGATTGGACCATACTGTAGTCTTGCATCATCTTGCTCCTGGGAGCCTCTGTAGAGCCATCTGCATTGATGGTTAGCATCCCCCCTCGTCTGGCCAAGCCCTATCTGCCTCTGGCCATACCATGCCGTTTGTAGATCGGGGGTTTCCGGTAGATGTTACTCTCTCCAGCTGCCACACAGACCAGGAAGGGATGGGGGTGAGTGGGTGGGGGGAGACAGGGGAGAAGGAGACAGCACTTGGTGAGTTGATCTGAGAAAAGAGAGCCAGTCAGCAGTTTTTTCCAAGAGGCTACCATCTTTCCCCTGGTGGGCTTCCTCTTCTAAAGTTGAGCTTCCAATCTCACCCCAACAAGTTCCAAGTAAGGCTGGGGAAAGGGATGGATGCATAGAAATGGTGCCAAGGAGGGGAGGTGGGCTAAATGGTGGGCATGCAGGAGGTGGGCCATGCTGAGCAGGGCCCCATGCAGGAAGTGTCCATTGCTCCTTCCAGTGGCCACACCTCATTCCATGAGAAAGTCCCTAGGAAGCAGCAGTCAGATTCCAGCCTTGTCTACCTTGCCCTCCCTCAGAACCAGACAGGGCGGGACCCTTGGGGCCACTGGGAATGGTGGAGGTGAAATTACATAAGCTCCTGAGGGGTGAATGCAAAGCTAAGGTCAGGGTTGGAAGATTAGGGTCTAGACCTGGCTGTGTTGTAACCCAGGGTGAGGTCTTCTCTTACAGGGATACCCCTACAGGGTCATGTATCCTCTGGCTTCCTCTCAGCATCTCAAGGACTCTGACTTTATTCTTGCTCCCTCTGCCCAGGATGTTTTTCCTGGGATATTCACAACACCAACTTTAATGTCACCTCCTTCCAGAAGCCTTTTCCTGCCCATCTCACCTAGCCTCCCCGACTCCAGTCACTCGCTCACAACGCTCTGAGCTTTACTTTTTTGTTTACAGTGGCTATCGTCCCCTGCAATCATCCTTTCACTTAATTTTTTGTTGTTCATGCACCATCTCTTTCCACAGACTGTCAGCACCACACTCTAACCAGCTGAGCTTACTGATGAGATGATTCTCTCCACACATTAAAACATGCCTACCATGAAGGCAAGATCTGGGCTGGAATGAGCTCAGTTTTGCAATCTCAGGGCCCAGAATGGTGCTTGGCTGCACAGGGAAACCACAACACGAGCCCAAGGTCGCCAGCTTAGGGGCAGTAGGATCAAGGTTCAGTTCAGAGCCTTGATGCGAGCTCCCTTCACCATTATGTTTTACTCTGTCCATCAGCCATATAAAATGCCAACACCTCATGTGAGCTCCTGAGCCTTCTCTTCTTTGGCCTTTCTTTGTGGTTCTGATCAAGGTTAGTTGTATGGAACAGGTACATTAAAGCCCATGGGCATGGGCTGTAGAGTGGGTTAGCATGGGTAACTGATTAGGGAGGGCCTCCCAGGAACCAGCTCTTTGCCGGTGCCTATACAACATCAAGCAGGTGGCTCAGGCATCCAGCACCCCTACAGAGCATGCATCCGTGCTGGGAATGGTGGTCTGGCAGCGCCTACCTGGGATGTGAAAGTGCTTGGGAGCCTGGTAAGAGGTTGGAGTGGAGGACCTCACATCTAACTGGCTATGGTATGGAGAGCTCCGGCCACTCTCAGGCCCTGGAGCACGCAGGCGGTGGTCCCCAGAGAGAACAGAAGCATAGAGAAAACAGGCATTAAACAAGGTGGCACTTATAGAAGCGGTGAGGGGATGGCAACGGGAACAGGGTGGCTGGACGTCTCGGCGTGCTCAGCTCCAGAGCGGAAGCAGCGTGAGTGTTCATGCACCATGTAGACAGAGCAGGCTTCACTTGGCTTCTCACTTGATCCCAAGCTCTGATTTTGTAAGCGTTGCAAGGATTCGGAAGACATCTTTACCTCCTCTCTTCCCAACCCTCCCTGCTTAGGCTCCTCCCTCAATTGGCCCTTTTCTCAATTCAAACACTTGCCACCTCCCTCATTCCAGGGTGACTGTATATACTGGTGACTAGTTGGGCCCTCAGGGGGAAGGCTAGCCCCTCAGCCTTACTGCTGGTCTGCTTCTTCCTGTGGATGGCACAGGCTGAAGGATGGGATGGAAGAGTCTTCCCTGAGCCAGGGCCCCTGGACTGCCTGTGACTCCCTTCCTGGCAGCTCCCCACCCAGCCTCCTGCTGCTTCTCGGGGTCACACGCCCATTTCCCCTTTACCAGGGGTATATCGGGGACTCTGTCAGGCCTACCAATCACCTGCATGGCCAAAGGCTTCCAGAAGTTTACACTGTCATAGAAAGCATATGCTGTCCCTGTGGCCCAGGGACACTGGGTCATAGCACTGTCCCTTTTGGGGCGTCTCTTGCCTTACCTGAGCGGTAGTAGTGAGGCGAGCGGGAGAGGGTGGGAGACATGCCCTGCCGACTGTAGGTGGGGGAGTCAATGTATCCTGGGCTGGAGGCCCGTCTCTGTCGGAGATCCAGGTTCTCATAGATGTCCTGGGAGAGGAGGTAGGACTGTGAGCAAGGCCTGTGGTGCAAGGGTCCAACAGGCAGGTGGGGCATGCTATAGAATCAGGAATTCTAGTGGCTCAGGCATGAAATCCCTTTTCTGAGTCACACATACAGCCCAAGGATGGTGGGAGAGAGTTCTCAGGCCTCCCTGTACCTCTCATAGCCCTTGGGTCAGTCCCTGGAGCCCTGACTAGGGGATCCAGAGACATGAAGGACTCTCTGATAGAGGTACACATGGGGTTCTCGCCCCACCATTTCCATCCTTTATGCCCCCTGCTTGGTTGGGGGCCACATTTCTGGTGAGGGATCAGGTCCCTTGCAGTGCAAGGGAGGGTGAAGTTAGGGAGCCTTTCTTGGTCATCATAAGGGACACAACTATTTTGACCTTTTATATATCAGATTAGTTACCTGGGAGTAAGGAGACAATGTTCCCAGTGACTTTAGAAGTGGAGAGTTTGAAGGCAGTCATGGAGAGAGCGAAGGGAGAAAGAGGTGGACAAGAGGAGGAGACAGACTCTGGTTAAAAGGTGTAGCAAGGAGGGTGGGTGCCTCTACTCCCCCCGGGGACGCACTCCAGACAATGCCTCCCTTAGACGTCTACATCAGTACTACCAGGAAGAGGAAGAAAGTCTTGTGAGTATGTTCCCCTTTCATATATGCAATGGACCAGGGAGGGAATATGAACGCTCAGGGCCACTCTGGACTGCTCAGGAAGTGGCTGGTCTTGAGATGGACCCAGGTTTCCCTACTGCAAGCTCAAAGCTATTTCCTTAACCCATTCTTGTCTCAGTCCTGGTTCATGTCCCTTCCCTCCTGTGGTTCATGAAGACAATACCTAAGGCAGGAGATCCAAATTTAGAGCTAAGCAAGGAGCAGGCCACTGCTATAAACTGGGAGGCTGATGTGGGAGGGGACATAGCAAGCTGGGGCCTGAAGGACCCTACTCAGCAGGGCTGCTGTGTTCAGCTTTAGTAGATCAGGGCCATGTTGGAATGTCCACCCAACATCGACCAGCTTCTTTATTTCCAAGACAAGTTAGAAATGTAGATTCTTACATGAAATCTCCTAACATTTACATGTTAACAGCTAATTAACATTTTTGAATGACACTCTGTAAGTGAACAAAAACCATCTGGGAGTTGGCTATGGTACAGGGGTCCTGGCTGCTAACTGCAGGAGAACTGGCCTCTGCAAATGTTTCATCCTCTTTTCCTGGCCTATTTTAGGGGCAAGGATGCATTGGGCTCAAAGACCTTCAGCACTGGGCTCTTTAACCCAATGGAACCCAATCCCTGTAATAAGGAGTGGGACTTCCCAAAGAAAGAAGCTAGCCAGTGGCGGAGATGGGCAGAAGCTGGGAGCTCCTGCTGACACTGTCACAGCTTGAGGGCCTGGGATGGGGTGAGAAATCTGGGATATGGGTAGTCAGGATCTCTTCTGGGGTGGCCGCCTTGCCTTCTCCGGAGAACTGGCCCTCATATCTAGCAACCATGTAATGGCTCTAAACCCATCTGATGTTTCCTCTTTATGTGTCTCTTGTTCTGATCACAAGGTCTTAAGTAGGTTCAAAACAGAGAGAATATGTCTAACTAAGGTTTATGAACTTTGTGGTCCTTGAGCCTGGCAGGAGATCAGCCATGGGCTCGAGGCTCACCAAGATTTCTCTGCTGTAAGAAAAGAAAGTGATAAGTAATTCTAGGCTCTCATCTTCCATGTTGGAAACTGGTAGGCTGTGGTGGGGACTGGGAAGAATGGGAGCCAAGTCCTGTCTACAGGATGTACTGTGACTCACCTCTAGATGATGGAAATATAAGTTTAATTTTTCATGAAAAGCCAGATTTTTGGATGAAATCTCTTGGTTTTTAGAAGTTGCCTATAAATCCTAGATTAGAAGGGTCTGGAGGCCAACACTGTGGTGCCTAGACTGTCTGTAGTGAAGTTGACTAGGGACCCCAGTAGGACCTTGGCTCTTTCATGAGCCCCAGAGAGGCAAGACGCGGTACCTCTCCATAGCCACATCTCTCCAGCATCTCGTCGGACGTGTATCTGGAATGAGGCTCGTAGGAAATGAGGTCAGGGCGTTGCACCTCGTAGATGGATTTAACCTTGGGGAGAGCTGCCAGGTCTTTGTAATTAAGGATCTCATTATCCACTTTAGCCTGGGGAAGAGGGAAACAGACAGGAAAGAAGCAGGAAGATAAGAGAGAAAAGAGAGAGGAAGCAAAAACAAGGCAGGAGAAGACCAGGCTTCTCCAGTTTCCACTAAAAACAAATATTAGGCTTGAATGGGAGAGTTGTAGAACGTTAGAATAAGAGTGGTCTCAGAGGCCAGCCATTGAAATGGGGTACATTACTATTACTAAGCACATACTGTTTGTGAGACCCTGTACTTTATGAGCCTCTAAAGGTCACACTGCCTCTGTGAAGGGTCAGTATTATTCATATTTTCCAAATGTAGAAATTAAGGCTTAAAACCTTCCATAACACATCACAGAATGCAGTCTGAACTCTATTCCTGGGTACTGACTGCTGTCCAACCCCACATGGGGAGGACATCCCTAGTCACAGCCCCTGTGCAAGAAGATGGTTAAGCCAAAAATTGTCAAGATAGTCAAATGCCAGCTAACATTTGCCCAGTACTTATTATATGATACAGGCTCAGTCTCAAGTCCTTTCTGTGGATCAAATGAGTTAGTCCACAGAACTCACAATTCTAATTGAATAGTTTTATTGTCTTTGTTTTGTCTAAGGAAAAAGAGGCACAGGGATATTAATGAACATGTTCAAGTTCACAATTCTGTAAGTGGGAACACCCAGAATTTGAACCCAGGTAGTATCAGCTGAGAGCCTGCCTTCTCCAAGAGTCTGTCCTGTCCTCCAGGGAAGAGTCCACTGACTTACCCTATCAGAAGGCTGCGCCCAGAAAGCTGCTCCTTACAGAAAATAGAAATGAACTTCTACTTGGCCTCTCTTGGGTTCAGGACTCTAGAGCCACATGGATTAGAAGTCAGATCCCCTTTGCCTATGATAGACCCAGCTCTCCTGGCCCTTGAAGCCATGTCCTTTTCATATCTATGTTCTCTAGTCATTTCCTGTTACCTACTTTCTGTTCTGGTCAACCAGGACCTGTGTTTCAAACCTGGACCTGTGTCTCCTGTAACAACTACGTTTTGGAAGGTCCTAGGCTGAAGTAAACGAAGAGCCCACTGGATACAGAATCTAAGGTGACATTGTTATCTCTATCACATTCTCTAGTACCAGAGGGGTCAGGGAAAGTCTCAGGGCCATGGCTACTTCAGGAAGTGCAGCTTTCCTAAGTACCTTATAGTATGCTCAGCTATTAAAAATCTTCCCAAGGCCCATTGCTGGCCGATCCCACTGCTGTTTATTCTTCATTGCTCCCGAGACACCCCCGGCGCCCCCATCACAGCTTCTCTTGCTTTGAGTTGGGTTTGGCCAGTGGGAGGGGCTCGGAGATGGAGGAAGCATGGAGGGAGAGGCTGGCATGCTCTTCCTCCTACATCCCATTCAGCCCTGGGCTGGGCACAGCTCCTGTCTGATGGCTATTCTTCCACAACTCCAGTTCTTGCCAGCTTGGGCAGTGCCCTTTCTCTTTATGCCAACGGTGGTGACAATATCCCATTGAGTCCTGGCTGACTCATTCCCTCTCTCCTGGGCCCCTTAACCCTTCACAAAACCTTTCTCAGGAAGATTTACTGACGTACCTTATCTGACCTCTGTCTAGCGTGTCTGGTACAGAATTCTACATCATTAACAATTTTTGGAGGTATGGGTTACAGGAAATTTCTTGGGCGATTCCTCTTGCTGAAATACTTGGGGGCCCTTTGTCCTGAAATGTTACATTCTGACCTTGAGAGCTCTTGGCATCTTCCATACTCATGTCAATGCAGAATTAGTCATCCTAGGCACTTCACTCCAAACCACAAAAATACCAGATTTATGCTTCTTCCTATACAGCTTCATTTACAATGCTATATATGAACCTTGGGTCTGGAGCCACAGGGACTGATTAGAGGCATCTGAACATAACTGGAAAGGGAGAGAACATATGAGATAAGTCCTGATTAAGCTACCTGAAGATGATTCTGGAAGGTATGCATGTGTGTGTGTGTGTGTGTGTGTGTGTGTGTGTGTGTGTGTGTGTGTGTGTGTGTGGATGCGGACTGCT